CCATCAAAGGCGGGGGGTCTGGGCTTTGGGGGCACTTTGCCCTTCCGGCTGGGCTGTATTCACTCTGGTGCGGCCAAACCCCTCTGAATGTCCCCCTTGGTGCCTCCGCGCCCCCCCCCCGCGGGCATTGCCTGGCCCTTGTCCAGGTGGGTGTGCCAAAGACTGGGCAAAAAAATGGGATGCCAGAGCCTAAAGGGGAGGGGGGGGTCGCTTTTATGCTTCTGTCAGGAAATGTATGCACCACCCCCACCACCTTAGGTGAAAATGATGCTCTCCATGTTATTCCTCGGAGGTAAAGCCAGACCTGGGTGGTCCAGGGTGGAATGGACAGGAGAGGGTCAACCCTTGCCAGGGTTGATGGCTGATGGAGCCCCTCCCCCCTCTTCTCCTCTAGGCTGGACTTGGGGAACTGCTCGCTGACCACACTCTGCTCCGGCTTCCAGGAGGCTAGAACTGCTGTTATCATGTGAGTCCCATCCACTCCTTGGGCTGGGTCGCTTCTTCCATGGGGCACACAGGGCTTTCTGGCTGCAGTGGGAGACCTCTTTGGGATCCTTGGTTCAGAGGGACGCAGAGAGAGCATGGGTGGGTCAGAAAGCAGCTCGGGGGGGGGCTGCACTTGAAAAGGCATTTAGCCCTTCCCTCTCAGAGGACACCTCCGTGGGGTAGGATCTGTGCCTCTGCTTGGAGGTACATTCAGCAAGTAGAGACACAGGTGGGGGCTTTTAGTCAGGCTGTGTATTCTCCCCCCCCCGGTGGCAGGGGGCAAGAGAAGGAGCAGGTCAGTGTGGTCAGGCCATGATTGTAGACTTGTCGAAGGTCTGAGAACTGAGCGGTGACGTCTTGGGTCTGGTCCGGTCTAGGCGTCTGTTGGTTCCCCTGCAACATCTGGTGTTCAGGCAAGCCTTTCTGGCTGCCCCCAGTCATCCAGTGAACCGTTGGGAGGGAGGGCTTAACATCTACGTTCAAGCTTTTTGTCCTGGTCTGTACATTGAATGGCCATCTTTAGACTCTCCGGGAAGACTCAGCCCTTGATACGCCTGTCTGGGAAGTCCCAGGAAGCGGTGCTGCCTGGCTGGCTGGCTGGCAGAGAAGGGCAAGGCAGGGCCTGGAAGGCCGACGGGTGACTTCTCTCTTCTCTCTCGTTTCTAAACACAGCGATCTCACGGGTAATCCACTGCGGGATCTTCCCGAGGATGCTTTCCGAGGATTCACCCAGCTGCAGACCCTGTAAGTCTGAGTGGGCGGCTGCCCCTCCCAGTCCAGGATCAGGTCCCCTGGGGCAGGCTGTGGAAGCGGCGGGGGGGTGTCCTTGGTGGGGGGGTGGGCCTGGTCAGGACTGGCCGCCATCTCTTGCCAGCCTCTGACAGGATTCTTTTGGGTCCCCAGGGCTTTGCCTCAGCACCTGGACTGCCCGGGGGGCAGCAAAGGATGGGAGAACATGCGTGTCCAAGGGAGCAGCCGGAGTTGCCAAGGCCAGAGGAATCCGTGCAATGGCTCAGCTGGGCTGGGTAGGGAGACAGCCGGCAGGGGCTCCGGGGGGAGGGGGGGAACATGCAGCAGGGCAAGGACGGTTGAAGGGGAGCATTCACCCCAGGGAGCCCCCGTCCTCCCTTCCTGACACGTTCTACTATAACCCTGCAGTGCGCAGAGTCTGTAGGATGAGGTCTGCCCAGGAGCCCAAGAGGGAGCAGGAGAGAGGCCCCAACCTGCCTCCTTCCCTTTGGCCGAGGCAGGGGTGGGGAGTGGCCGAGCACAGCACGCCTGGAGTTGGCCCACAGGTTCCTGCAGAGTGGAGTGCCCGCCCTTTTCTCTGCCTCTCCTAGAGTCCCAGAACGGTAGTCCTGGAGGAGATCCTCAGCTTCGTTGGCCCTCATCCCCTGGCGTTACTGAGTGGCAGGCCGCTGTGCCACCCTGGGGCTGCCCTGGGGCAGAAGAGGAGGAGGAGGGAAAGGATGCTGGCTGACCAAAACAAACCACCCGGGACGTCTCTTGCCCCTGTGCTCTTCCTGCCGAGCACGTTTGCCTGCTCCGACCTCACAGAACTGGGGTGGGGGCTGTGCCGGATCCCTGGCCTTGTGCTGGGCAGGGCCTTTGCACGTGGCACCAGCCCATGGCTAGCTGGCCCCGGTTATTCTGAGAGGAGAGCACCCCTGAGCTTGCCACTCAAGGCTCCTTTGGCCCAGCAAGAATCGGGCGCCGTGCAGGCAGCAAAGACCGAGGAGCCCAAGTCCTGAGAGGCAAAGCGAGGGCTGGGTTAGGATCGGTGGCTGCCGGGAAGAGGCAAAGCCCCTGGAGCTGTGGACTAAGGAGGGGGAAGCGGGAGGGCGGCGATCTCGGCCCCTAGCGCCCCCCAGGGAAGGCCCCGCCGGCCGCCCTGACTGCACAGGCCAGCCGTGCCTCTGCCTAGGCCATCCAAAGGGAGGAGACGGCACAGAGCAGGCCGGCAGGGTGGGGTGCAGGCAGGGCCGAAGGGGGTGTGCTTGGCGCGAGTGGCTTCCTGCAGCACGAGCGGGAAGAGGCCCAGCCGGGGGGGAACACACGGCTGCCCTGCTCCCCCTTCCCTGTCTTGCACCTGCAGTCTGGCTGTGCCCAGAGGCCTCCCTGTGCACCCCGGACGGGCCCGGCTTGTTCCAGTGCCTGTGCATGAGCCCGTACCACGGCTACAAGTGCCTGCGCCAGGTGAGCCAAGGCTGGAGCCTGGGGGGGGGGATGCTTGGGGAGGGGGTGCCAGTCCTTCCCTGGAGTCGCCAGAGAGACGGCTTGTTCTGGGCACCAAGGAAGCCTGCAGAGCATCTGAAGCCCTCCCCAGAGCCAAGCTCCGGCCGACCTGTCTGTCTTTCCGTCTAGGGCTCCTTCCCTTATCTGCTGTTTCTGGGGACTCTCGGCGCCGCCACAGCCATCCTCTCCATCCTGCTCTGGGTCACCCAGCGGCGCAAAGCCAAGACCTCGTAGGTGCCGCCAAGGGGGGGAGGAGGAGACGGAGGGCGGTGTCTCCTCTCTGCGGCCGCTTTGGCCTTCCCGACTGGTAGCCTCCAGGGGTCCAGAAGGCGACCGTCCGTGGCCCGGAACCTTCCCAGGCAGCCGCACGGGGTCTGTTTCAGGCTCCCCCCTCTCTGGGGGGCAGAGAGCCCTAGTGTGGGTGGACGTGCCCGTTTTGGCCTGCAACCTCCCACCACCGCCTCCCAGCCAAGTTCAGCAAGAGGACTGGGGAGGAGAGACATTTTCACAACACGGTTTGCTGTTAACCCTTTGGATGGGTAAGATGTTTGTAATAAAGTCTGATGTGTGTAACAAGAAAGCGAGACCAGTTGTATGGGCCTGTGTCGGGTTGGGCCAAGGAGTGACCCAGCCAGGGGCAGCTACTCCGGTCAGGGCTTGATCCCAGTGGCTTGTGGCAGTTCTGCCCCTGGACGTGGCCAGCTAGACTTTCCTGACGTCTAATGTCCATGTGTGTCCGAAGGCCTGGTGCTGGTCAGCAGCCGTCCATTTGGGTGGCCAGGCAGCTGGTCCCAACCAAACGAAGCCTCGGGGTCTCATAAGGGGCCACGGACATGCAAGACCCCTTCCTGGCCTCCATATGCTGTAGCCCACTTTCCCTGAGCAGTTTGACCGATGGCCTCTTCCATGCGCAGCCAAAGACACAGAAATATTCCCTCCTGCACACCCAGGCTCTGGTGGTTCATTTCCCCAAACGGTGGGCTTGGCTGCCCTCCCCGGCTTTTCTCCTACCTTCGGCTGCCCGAGGGTCTCCTCTCCGCCTAAATCGCCCTGCCTAGAACTTCACCCTCAACCACCTGAAGGGTAGAGGGCCCTCCGGCTCCCTAGATCTCACCCCGAGGCCAGCAGATGTGAAGCTGGGAATAACTGCTTGAATGCAGAGTTTAATTTATGGTTTCGATAGCAAAAGCTTTTGTGCAGTCCTGAGCATAAGGTGCTTGAATGCGCTCTCTCTCTCTCTCTCTCTCTCTCTTTCTGGGGAACGGTTTGCCACTCCCTCCCTCCCTCCCTCCCTGTGGCTGGCAGGGATGAACCAGCCGCCCGTGACTTCTCTTGGTTCTTGGAAGGCCCCACCGTGCGGTCAGGGAAAGGGTGCCTGGTCGCTTTTGGGAGGATTGTCTCCACGAGCGAGCGAGCAGAGGCAGCGCAGAGGAGCCCTTACTCAAAGCCCGCCATGGGGTCAAAGATCCTTGCCCAGCATGGCCCAAGGCCACAGCCCCGGAGGGGGGGGCGCGAGGGAGAACCTTGGTGGGCATCAAGGCATGCCCTCTGGGGTCTGTCTACAGCCAGGGTCGCCCAGAGGCAGCAGGGGAGGCTGGCCGCAGCCTGGGTTGGGAGAGGAGGCCGAGACCCCTGGGGGCCGCCCTTCCCTAAACAGGCATCGGGTCCCCTCTTGGCACCCCTTTGGGACACAAGAGTCCAGATCCAGGGGCCCTCCCCGGTTGGGCGCCAGGATCGCCTGGGGCTGCCTGGGTCAGACAGGGCTGGATCTGGAGCCGGGCAGGGACGCGGACGCTAATCAATAGCAGGCAGAAGGGGCGAGGCCGGGAGCCCAGGCTGGGGCCCCGAAAGCACTGCAGAAGGGCTGCCCCCCCCCCCCCACCTGGAGGTCAGCCCCCGCCTGTGCAGGATTTCTTTCTCTGGCGGTGGGAGGCGGGGGACCTTCGAGGGTGGCAAGCAAGAAGGGGGGCAGGTGGAGGGCAGGGTGGAAGGGGGGGGCGTTTT